CCCAACGGAAACAAACCCAACCAAATAGGCGGTCACGTTGCAGCAAGGCACACGTGAGGCCGTCGGTTTTGGTCTCAGCCACGAAATACAGCTCCGCTAGAGCCCCCCTGTCTGCTGCTCCTGACGACCCCATCGATTCCACGCCGTCGGGTATCGCCAGCCTTACGTCGTCGTCAGCCATCTGCGACGACGGCGACGGCGGCGGTGGAAGCACCCCCTCCACCCCCGCTTTGCTCGTTTCTTGCCTTTTCGGCGCCATCCGTTACTCCCGGGTGTTGTTCGGCTCCGCCACCCTCGCCGAGCGTATCGACGTCGGCCGCCCTACGGACGCGGTCCAAGAACACCTGGCGACTTCCTCCTCATCGAAAAAGTTGTCGAGCCACGCGAGCAAAAGAAGGTGCCGCACGGCCGGAAGGCGAGCGGCGGCGCGCTTGGGAGCGGCGGCGGCGGCAATAGCCTGCAGGAGTGCCCCGCCGCCTGCCAAATCGATTCTTCTGAAGTAGCGGCGGCTGCCCGTTCCGCGCCCGGGAGCTCTTGCTGGTTTTCGAGTGCCCCCATGTCGGTTGTGGCACAGGTGACGCCGACACGGGAGGAAGGCGGGTCGCGATGGACGAGCGATGGGAAGCGGGCCTCGACTCCCCCATTCCGCGGCCGTACGGCGTCATACTCGGCATTGGTAGCGGGTCGTTTGTCATCCGCATGTGTGTAAGTAAGAGGGTTTAGGGAGAGGAATGAGTATAACAAGGGATTCACTTACCAAACGCCCTGTATGATTGATTTCTCTTGGTCGAAAAGAATTGAAGGGGAGGGCGTTCACCTTGTAAAGTACGGGGGGCGAGGGGGGACTCATTGTGCAAACCAACGGAGCAACTGGGTTGGCGTGTCGGGGCCGCACAACTTGCGAATCAAACAAGCAAGCAGAGAGCGAGAGACTGGTCCTCACCAGGTAGTACCGAACATCACGGCCACCGATTTCCTCGGAAAGCGCTTCAAACTCCGCCGCCGCCTCGGCCTCCTCGAGCGCCGCCACATCCTTGAACCTTGGCTTGACCGCCCCTGTCTAGGTCTCCTCGCCCGCTGCAGGTCTCAACCGCCCCCCTTTCTCCTCCTGCCCTAGCCACCCTCTCCTGGCAGAGCCAAACGCTGGATCACCGCCGCCAACCGCACAGCCAACGATCCTCCGGCGCTTACTTGACCGGCGGGAGCAGGGACCGGAAGAGGCCGATGTGGTGCGGGACGAAAGTCGTAAACTGAACTCCGCCGACGAGAGCATGAGCTCTCTCGCCGGTGCCAGTCACCAAAAGTGGTACTCGGCGCGTATTTCACGAAGCGTTGATACTAGCAGCAATGGAAGGCGCTTGAAAAAGCGGGCGGCGGCGACGGCGATTTTTTCTCTCTATCAGTCGGTGGAGCTGGAAATGCCGGAAGCTGGGCGCAACGAAGGTGAGGCCTCGAAATGTCTGCTGCGTTGCTGTTGCTGCAGGACCGGGTGAGATGCCCAGCACAGGTGACCGGGTGGGTCGAGATCGAGGCCTGGGGCAATTCGCAACTCGACGGCGCGGCAGCGGCGGCCGGGCACGGCAGATTACATCCAGCGGCAGGAAGAGCCGACAGGGTTGCATCTCAGTTTTCTCTCACCTTTCCCTTGGTATGGGGGTCATGGATATGCGACAGCAACAACAGGCTCGCAAGACATGTGGCATTTGTCCGAATCGCGCCATTACAATTTGTGCATCCGATGCCCGCATGCCCGTTTCGTCCACGTTGGCTGAACGGTACAACATCAAACCACGTTGGTGCGTACCGAAGGACAGAACGCAAAGAATGGTGTCCACAGAAACAACGTCTTCATAAGTGCACTACTGTACAGGTACCCCAGCGGCGTTGCCGGGTTACTCAGTCACGATCTAGCAGGGTAATGATTCTGTTGTGCACTGCTGGCCTATCGCCTGAGACTCCCACCCCCCTGAAACCATTGCACGAAGTCTCCAGCAAAACCCAATGAAAATTTAGGGTGGGTTCCGCCTACATTGTAGAGTGCAGTCGTAGACGCTAAGGAAGCAGCACGCCAAGTGACGCTAAGTGCATCACACACGAAGCGACGTGTTCCCTGCATGTGGCACGCCTACTTTGTAGGATCGTGCAAAGAGCCATCTCGTTTGCGGAACTTAAAGAATAATTGTGTCTGTCGAATGTAAAACATTTGGTCGGTCGGAATGCCCACTTAACCCACCGGTACATCTCTTTCGATTCACACAGCAAACGCAAGTATCATGCAGCTTCTGGCTGATCCCTGCGAAACGTGGCCTGGGCCGGCCAAAACCCGACATATCGCTGCGGCTCGGCGTAGGGATGCGTCTCAACGACTACAGAATCATGCATTTGCATGAATACACACACACACACACCTCTCCCATGCCGTTTCCTCACGGGGTCTGTAAATGGCATTTAGAAGAGTTTTGTGTGTTTTTAACCGTACTAAGACTGACGTCCCATTCGTCAGCCGGTTAGCGCGGTTGATGCTAATTAAGCAAAACACACACACACATACACGTATTTTCATTGGTCAGCCGGTAAGCGCAGTCGATGCTAACAACAAAGACACGCACACATCGGGCCCAGGCTTTCGGTCACTGGGCGAACGTGTGTTAACTTTCTGCTCGCGCTTGCCCTCGGTGAGCGTCAGGGATTGCACATGACTTTCGAACTGCCATGTACCCCCCACAATGCCCGTTGGAAACCGAAACCGAGCATCGCATTGCTTGGGAAAGCTAAAAGTATAGCACTTCCATTTAAATTGGAGATACGCTTGATCAGCGTAGAAACAGAGGCTGGGCGATGGTTTTTTACCCCAACTGCTCACACAGCCTACATCGTCTTAATGTAAGCCACGTTGTTTCCTACCGCGGTGCGTTCTTCGAATCCCCTGCGGGATTGCCAGGGGAGGTCGCCGGATTTGTAGCGCATCCTGCGGTAGGGAGACTTGAGGGGTGAATTGTGCTTAATTGTCTTCTTCGCAATGAGAGACTCAGAGTCCGAAGCGACGGCATCGCGAGGACGAGAGCTTCGGAACAAATAATGGCAAGCCTTCAAGAGTCTTTTCAATCAACTTTTATCAGAGATTGTAGATTTATCCGCGCAACCAACACATCACCGTTATGCTACCTGTTGACGCGCTTGATCACAGTGCCCCACCCCGCCCCTCCTCCGCCACAAAAGCAAGGCGACACGAAGCCACCATCCCCCATGTTAGATTTATCACGCCAGCACCTCGACGTGCCTACCTTGCACCCGACCCCCCCCCCCCCCCCCCCCCCCCCCCCCCCCCCCCCCCCCCCCCCCCCCCCCCCCCCCCCCCCCCCCCCCCCCCCCCNCCCCCCCCCCCCCCCCCCCCCCCGCCCCATATATGCTAGTATTAATGTGTCGTGCGATAGACCCAGCATTAGAACCAACAAATTGGAGCTACGGCAAGAGGACACAACACACCCCGCTCGAAAAACGGCGCCTCTCTCACCCAACAAACATGGCGTGCATGCATGCCCACCTTTCGGTCGACGTATGCCCGAAGCTACCCCGATCGAATGGCAACCAACTTGCGGGGAAGCCGCCAGGCAACAACACGGGATCGGCGCGTGTCCAAGTAACAGGCGTGGTATCTCCTCAAAAATAGAAGTATTCAACTGACGCCATTGCTATCGACCGGATGATATGCTGCCGCAGCAACAACGTATTAGTCTAAGGGTTGAGTTACGAACTCGTGACGGCTCTTGTTTTGACACACGGCCCTGTAGAGAGAGATCAAGCGAGAAAACGTCCTAACCACAGGCGCATCGGAAGTGAGGAGACAGAAAACAACACAAACCCCGACAAGAAGGCCATAATAGGACACGTCCATAATAGGACACGTCCAGCAACCAAGCAGCCGGTTCGACGGGGGGCCAGGGGCGTGTTCGAGCAAAAGCAAGCCGGAGTAAACCAGAGAGACAACACTTTCGCACATAAGCTCCGTTCTTAGGTGGCAACCAAGATTCTGCTCTCTTCCAGGGTTCAGTCCTGGCACACCTGCCTCTATACCAACTTTCCACCCGGCATCTTAACCATCGAAACAGTACAGTGCCCACCGCCTGGCGCACAGAAGCACAACTCTTCGATAGGATCGAGAAAAGGACACCGCTCCGACCGCTTGCTGTGCTTGAAACCTAAACAGTGGTAGTAGTCATTGAGGAAAACAGCAGAAGGACGGCGTTTCGTCAGTGCATACTTATCATCAGCACCGTATGGGACAATTCCGTCTTTCGAAGTGTGCAAGAGTAACGGAGGGGCCCACATGCCCATGTCAGTAGCCCAGACCGTGGATGGCGCCAAACGGCTGAAAGCGCGAGGGTTGCAATGCGGGAATACATGTAACGCTACGCATACTATTTGTGGACTGTGCGGCGACGGACTTGGTGCGTCCGCTAGAACGGCATACACAGCTACAACACGTCCACAATACTTTCCTTGCAGCCTGTTGGACAACCACCAAGAGCACATCACAACCACCAAGAGCATATCACAGCACACAGTCGCATCCACGAGAAGGGCACAGCATGAGTTAGCTGTCCCACTTGAAAGCCCAAAACGGTCTCTGGCAATAATCTGCCGAGACAGTCTTAGGTATTTATTTGTTCGGCAGACACACCCCGTTCGTTTCGCCCCAGTCGACTGTATCTAGTACATGGAATTCGTAACTTTTAACCCAACCGCTGCGCGAAACGTGACACACAGTACTCACTACTTCTACGTAAAAAAGCCAAAACCAAATCGGGTCAAATCGATCAACTCCCTCATGCCAAGTCCAAGGAAGTGGCGATGCGAAGCAATCGAGAAGAAACACCTTCCGCACTGTCTGTGCTCATATACGCACGGGTGGGTATATTCACGAGAACACGTCCACATCTGTGTTTCCATAGCAAGAAATCGCCATCGATCCTACGGCAGAATTCTCCCCTCCTCGTACCTCACAGGAAGCCCACCACCAACCGGAACAATACGTCAGCCTCCAGTCCGACTAGCCTGACCACCAAATCCCTCCAGTTGACCGTTTTCTGATCCTCCGTCTCCTTGTCATCTCCACCCAAATCCTTGCAGTTGACACTCACCATCTCGGCGGAAAGACCGTCACCGCTGCTGCCGCTGCTGATGTTACTGCTGCTACTGGTGTTTGAGATCTGCACCTTGGTCGGGCAGGAACGGCTCAGCACCAGCCAGCGGCGGCGATGCCATGACCTATCGGCTGGAGCGCGAGCCAGCATTTGGCGAATGCGGTGCTGGTCGGCCTCGATTGCTTCGTCTTTGCCGCGGTTTTCTCCCGGAGCATCCGTCACGTCTGGAGGGGTTTCTTCCTCGCTGTCGACTATCGCGCCTGCAGGGGTTTCTCCATCCAAGTCCGTAAGCTTCTCATCTGCTCCCCAATGCAGTAGAAACTCCACACCGTTCACGCTCGAACGCGCACAAGCTACATGCAATGGTGTCTGGTCGAATACGTCACGCGCATTGACATTCGCCCCTCCCTCCAACAGGGCTCGGATCGCGCCTATCGGTGCTATCCGACGATTTACGGCATAATGGAGAGGCGTGGCGCAATTGCCGTCTCCGGTGGTCTTCGCGTCGACATCAGCACCGGCTTCCAACAGTACACGGACAGTATCGCCGTTGTCAAGGACAGGTTCGTTAATATCACAAACACAGCAGTGTAGGGCTGTGTATCCGCCATCATCGGTCGCGTGGACTTCACTACTGTCTGCGTCAAGGAAAGCTTTACGATGCTCACGTAACCGTGGTGTGCAGCTATCTCGAATGGAGAATAGTTGTTGTCGGCACGAATGCCGCGGTTGGCACCGGCAGCTAGGAGCTCTTTGACAGCCCCGACGTGATTGTTTTCTGCCGCCCTGAACAGCGGTGTTTGATCTTCTCCATCGATCACATCCTTGTCTGCGTGTTTGGGGTGTCGGCGCGTGTACTATGTTATCACGCTCGCGGGCTCTTGTCGAGAGCGTGTTGCACAAAGGAGTGACTCAAGTTCCTTGATTAACTATT